ACTTTAATAGCTACTCTAAAAACATTATCTTTCATTTCCTACCTTCTCTTTTTGTTACTGCTGTTAAAAGTCAGGTCTTTATTTTTATATTGGGGGTGTCCCTCATGAGCCTAGGCTGATCTTCAGCTTGAGGTCCTACATATTTAGCCTTCCAGATGCAGGACCATACACCTGCGCCACAGTGTTCTACACAAAGTTTGTGATATGTAAAAAATACTTCACCTAAAACATTAAGAGTTCAAGCTTTACCGAGTATGAGGACTGGAGTTTGGAAGAGCCAGGAATCATGACCTCTGCATAGGTGTGTCACATCCAAGCAGAGTGGCAGAAGTCCAGCAGACATTGCAGTCTAGGAATGCTCCACAGATTCCACAGATGTTGTTGCTGGACACTGGCCTCCCAGGAAGTCAGAAGCAGACCCTGTGCCCACAGCAAAGGGAGAAACTCAATCTAGCTTTTCTGGGAAGGGACAGATCACTACTGTAATTCATGTGCAAATGTGACATTTTTAAAAGGGGTGTTTCATGTGCATATTGGTGAACAGTTCATATTTCCTCATTTGCCATGAGAAAAAATGGAAAATTCGAAGTCTTAAATAGGCAATTTTTGGGCAGTATAAGCTCAGAGGATAAACTGGCTAATATACAACTCAATGTCAGTGATTATTTCACTTGGATTACTTTGCTGAAAAGTCTCTAAAATGTTCTTTTTTCCCCTTAATTTGCTTCTGGATTCATGATAAGCAGCTATTTTTTCCTTAAAATAACATAACATAGTAAAATATAATATGAAATATAAAAATAATGTAAGTGCTACTGTAGGCTCAGTGGCACTGGGACACTCATGGGAACCAACATGACTTATGCCATGTAGATGGTAGTGAAATCACATAACATGGCTTATATTTATGATGTCATTCACCAAGTTGGTGATAAACATGGTTATTATTTGCTCATGAGCTCAGCTGCATGGTAAAGCGAGCCTGTCCGATCAGGGCACAAGTCTATGTACCACCTGACAGAGTTTTTAAATGTGTACAGTTTCACCCATGACTTTGATATTTTGACCTCCCCTTAGATCCAAGGCACAAGAGGCTGCTTGGTGCCATTGTATTCCACTCAAACATGGCATGGCATGTGATCAGACAGATCTGTGAGTCTCCATGTTGACCAAGATTTAAGACCCGTGGAAAACAGCTCATGAAAACAGATCATCCTAATTGAAAACCTCAGTTTCTTTGTGTGGCACTGGTACCCAGTTCGAAGAGCAGCTGCTAGGTGGCAGTGTCTAAGGCAGCCAGACTTAATCACACCAGGAGACTGTTTTAGTTCTTTCTACCACCTGATCCAATGCTTCACAGGTTCTCTGAGGCAACTGCATGGAGAAGGAAAGAAAGTGGACTCCTATGCCCAGAAAGAGAAAATGGGGTTTTCAAAGCTTACATTGAGTCCCACGCTGTTTTATCTCTCCTTATACAGAGCAGGGTGTGGAAAGAGGCAGGGGTGTGGGGAGGTTGGGGGAGGGAGGTGTTTTAAACAGGTGAAGGAGCCTCTGAGCCAGCCAGAGGATTTGGTGTAATATTTTCTTTCCTTAGCTTCAGTCTCTTGGTCTCTCTCTTTCTGTGTCTCTCGCTGTCTCTTTGTTTCTCTGTATCTACCTTTTCAAACTCCCCACTGCTGATTGCCCCAATAATTTCATATTTATGCCAACATGTGGCACCAGTCTTCAATTTTAGATCTTGTAGTCCTTCATATTTTCTTTAGTTTTGATTTGATGGAGTTCATTGTAGATTCTTGATGCTAGTCAGTTTTGCTGTCTATGTATAGAATATTTTCCCCGCCTTTGACTTCTATATTCAACATATAATATGTGTTTGGGATCAATAGGTTTATGTGTATGAATCGTAAGTTTGCCAAAGTAGTTTTATATAGTTTCTTATTACAGTTTTTATTTTATTTATTATTTACTACAGTATTTATAATTTTATCTTTTAACTTAAAGTCTATCATCACTCTCAACCAGGTTTTGCCTATGTCTGAAGTTTAACAAAAAGTTTATTTTTGATTTTCATTTTTTTAAATAAAATATTTCTTTTGTTTCTGTTGTATATTTATTTAATTTAACATATTTTGTTGAAAGACTTTTCAAGATTTTTTTTATTTTTCATTGGTATATCTGTGGAAACTCAGTTGATGGTCTATGTCATAATTTTAGACAGTAAATTGATCCACTTGTCTAATACCTGTATGGGAAACAATCTGCATCTCAATGCAGTATTGCATAATTTTAATTAGACTAGAAAGCTTCTTTTTATCATAGGCCTAGATACAAAGTATTTAATGCCAATATTTGTATAATGTATGTATTTTTTTAAAAAATGTGATATTCTTAGTGAAGCAACTTTACTATGACATAATTAAATATAATACATCTATCTAAAATGAACAATCAGTCCACTTTTAGTTTGTTCAGAATTCTGCAACTAGCACTATGATCAATTGTTAAAACATTTCACTACACACACAAAAATGCAACAATTATTAATAGTCATTGCCCATTCCTCTCCATTTTCTTACCTAGTTTCTTCCCCAATCCTATACCTCAAGTAATAATACTTCTACCCAGACCTGGTGGCCAAGATCTGTAATCACTACTCATTGGTAAGCAGAGGCAGGAGGATACTCAAAGGCTGCCTGAGTTGCAGTGTGAATTTGAGGCTCTCCTTGGCTCTTCCAGAGGTAGAATGCTCAATGGACTCGGCGCATATTTAAGGTCAATCTCTAATAGCAACATAAGAAAATAAAAAATGGCATATCTTATTGTAAGATCACAATTTTAAAATGCCCTTTTTAAATATAACACTTTGCAGTGCTTCTTACACTCTAGATTTTGAACATGATTTGATCATTATAGCATAAATAAAAACTCCATCTTTTAGTTTTTAAATATTCCCTTTAGAAGCTGACATGATTACTGAACATTTTTAATCCATCCATTTATGTTAATTTCTTAGAATCATTTAAAAATTGCATGTAAGTTCAGAATTTTAAATTATGTGACAGGTATATGGTATATGTGTGTGCATATGTATGTTTGACAGTCTTTTTTATTATTCTTTAAATGCTCAAATCTCTTATTTCCTCATACTAAGAATAAGTATTTAATAGAACAAAATAATTATGAGCAATTTAGTCCCATAATTCCTAACCATATTTGTTGTAGAATAATACAGACATATCCAACATATACAATGTCAAACAAATAAAAATTACATTTTATTTTAAATAAATTTAATGTGTTAAATTTTCAGTTTTGAATGTCCTTGAATTTGTGGGAAATTAATTGATTTTAAGAATTTGGAGAGAAAACACCATTAGACTTTATTTTTTTAGTACTCTATAATCCTTTTACTTTGTTTTATATGTGATATATTTGGTTATTTGAATAAATAGTATTTCACTGTACTATTGATCTTGGCTCTCTTTTAGGAAGTAGTACTTTAAAAGCACTCTTGGATTGGATGTCTGAAGTACTTTCATGTGTTTTTGTGTGAATGTGTGCAACTTATTACCTCTTAATGGTAAAGTTTAAAAGCCCACAATCATTACTTACTCTTGCTACAAATTATACGTCTATACTCTCTCAATTCAGGATTTCTGTTGATTTTGTTTTCTAGTTCAATTTTGTTGGGAAATTGCTTGGACCAAGAGGAAACTCCTTGAAGAGGCTACAGGAAGAAACAGGTGCTAAGATGTCTATCCTGGGCAAAGGATCGATGCGTGATAAAGCAAAGGTACTGCACCTTGAGGTTGCTTCTTAGCACACTGAGGAGGCCCCTACAATACTGGGGACCCTGTTTACAACACAGAGATGGCTTTCCCTGTTTCCTGTGCCTTTTCCTTTCTGGGACTACATTGCTATCCCTTCTGATGTCTCTCTCTTTTTCAGTCATTGTCCCTGCCTCCTCCTCAGGATGTAATTCCTGTATTGCCTTTTGTAGTTCTCTCTGTACGTTGCTGTCATATAGCTGAACTTTTTTAAAGCCTCTGTGAGATAATTCTATAGATTAGTACTCTGGTTTTTTGATTCCCTAGTTGGACACCTTCTCTTCTATCCTGTAGTCACATGCATTCTCTCATTTTATTCTCTCCTCATTTCACTTTCTCCACTTAACTGAGGTTACTCCATGTCTTTATTTAGAAACATAAGAAAATCCTCTTTAGGCCTTAAAAGACTTCGGTAATATTATTACACAACAGCTGACTCGAAGACAAGAATAAGTTAAGAAACATCAGGTTTGAAGTTTGTAAAATTTTATTGTACATCTGAGCTACTTAACTTCCCATTTTATAAAGTGCTATCATTTCTTCAGTGTTTTTAGAGATGTTTTCATAAGGAAACTGAAAAAATCTTTGGTAAGCAGTGGAATGTGTACAGTTGCATCATTTGACCAAACTATATTTTTATCATTTCATATATTACACTATTATTGGAAATTACCATTAGAATGCTTGGAAAATCATGTATGGGTTTTCTCTTTAAACTATTAGGGAAGGATGTTAAGTGAATGATTTTAAAATGGAAAAGGGTCACTAAAGTGGCCAGTAATTCTCATTCATAAATTATTTTGTAATTTTTGTATTAAGTACTTAGATATCTATTAAGTCATCTAAATAGGCACTTTTTCAAAGGTGTAATTGTCAAGTCTCTACATTAAAAAAGTAATGATTTTACTGAACTTTAAATCTGAATACTTGTGATTGTGTAACATTTCAGAAATGAATAAACTGTTGCCAACCCTCTCCATCCTAGTGACCTGACTGCATTTAGAAAAAACAGTGTAAATGTTAAAGAAGAGGTAGCTATGAAATAATCCTTGACCCTTGTCACAATCCATCTCACATTTTTTCATAAACAGGATGAAGTTGATATATTTATTTAAAATATTCTTTAATATTGAATATTTAACTATTTAATATAGGACACAGTATGCAAATTTGCTGTTTTCCCCACTATGTCAAATTCTTATAATATAAACTGTGTACTTTTCAAAATTAAGGATTAAATTAAGCATCATATTCCTTGGAAGGTTTCTTGAACTCTGCATCTCTTTCACACTTATAACTCAGCTGACTGATTTATCTGTATATCTCAATGATATCTTAACTCTCTCAGGAGGGAAATGGCCTAATTAGCCTTGTGCATTAAGGACCACCATGCTATTTCTTCCTCCCTTTTAAAATAAATGCCCAATTTTCATCTCTATATATTAAGACTTTTTGTTCATATTGTAGAGCATTGTATTCCCTTTTCCCTGTAAGCATGTTGGGTACCAGCAAAATTCTCTAAAAATACAATAGGAAACACATTTGGTTTCAAATTTCTATTAGGTTTAACTTACTGAATTCACTTTTTACTTAAAATTCTATTTCTAATTAAATTATTGGTGACCCAGCATAGTTGGCTTTGCTTGTAATATTTCCATTTCAAAATTAAATTAAAAATAAAATGAAGCAAAATGAAATGCTTAATAATAATGTTGCATCATACAACCTGTTTTCTCAAATCTAGGACTTAACCTTCAAGTGTAATAGACACACTATTGAAATACAACCATAGACATGGATTTGAATTTTTTTCTTCAATAAACATCTGATTAAAATAAAGACAAATTCTTGGAGCTAGAGAGATGGCTCAGTGGTTAAGAGCATTGTCTGTACTTCCTGAAAGCTCTGGTTTGATTCCCAGCACCCACATGGCAGCTCACAGCTGTCTGTAACTCCAGTTCCAGGGCATGTGGCACCCTCACAGATAAATACATTCAGACAAAACACCAATTCACATAATATTTAAATAAATATTTTTTTAAAAAACTTCTCAAGAATTTATTGATGACTCCATTGCTATTTTGCCTTGTTTTAATATGAGCTGATTTCATTTGATTTTTTAAAATGTGTAAGTAAAACTCATCTATACATATATTTTTGTATGCATATATTCAGTATTTTAATAGGCTTAAATACATGCATTAATTTCTATAGTATTTATTAATCATACTATGATTATCTTTTGGTTTAAAAATGTTTCCCCTTATAATTTATATTCTAATGAAAGGGCAGACAATGTACAAATGAATGCATTTTCAACTGTAATACTTTGATAACTTTTAGAATTAAGATAAAACAGGAAAAGAGAAGAAATTAGGAGTAGTAGGAAGAATATTTTGACATAGACATCAAGATGATTGCTGGGGAACAGAGAGCCTATCATGAAACACATAGTCTTGAGAAAGAAATGCCAGGCAAGATGGCTCTGAGGGAAACTATGGCCATCAACTTTAACCTTCTAATAACCGTAGAAAAGAGCATAACCATTCTACTCTGGGTATAATTAGATTGTTGCCCCATAGCTATGGTGAAACTTACTGCAAACTGCTTTGCACTTGCTTCTCCTGTGTTCATTGTGCTTCCACTCGCTAGTCTCTGTGAATGTTTTCTCTTCATTAGATGACTCCCAAGCCCTGCGCTTGATTTTTAAGTTCCCTTCTTCCTGTCACAAACCCTACGATGTACATGCTTGTGAACATAAGTGTTATTGTTGACTGTCTAGTCACCTTTGTTATATACTTTAGAGATTTGTTACTTACCTATTTAAAATGCCAATGTTACAAGTCTGAGCAACTGAGATATAGTGTATGTGTGTTCATGTGAGCAAGTGTGTGTGTGTGTGTGTGTGTGTGTGTGTGTGTGTGTGTGTGTGTTGAGGGGAATGATTGTGTATGCAAGTGCACAGGTAAATAATGTTTAACCAAACTTTAGTCAACTTCCTTTTTACTCTTGTTCAATTTGGCTTTGGTATGTATGTATCAAAATCAGTATTGCTTTGATACCGTAGTCATTAAGGAGAAACACATTCAACTACAAATCTTTATTTTTTCACATTGTTTTAGATTGGGTTCCATGCACCAAATCAAAGAGTTTATTTTGCTTCATATCACTGAGTTCCAAATCACTATTCTTCATTAAAGAAAGTCTGGACAGGAACTCAGACTGGATAGGGCCCTGGTGGCAGGAGCTGATGCAGACCCCATGGAGGAGTGCTACTTACTGGCTTGTACCTCTGACTTGCTCAGCCTGCTTTCTTATAGAACTCAAGAAAGGAACCTAGAGGAAGGAATTGAAGCCGAAGGCATGGAGGTATGCCACTTACTGGCTTTTTCCCCATGGCTTGTCCAGTTTGCTTTCTTAAATGAACTATGACTCCCAGCCTAGTAGTGGCACTGACCACAGTGAGCTGGGCACGTCTCCCATCCCTCCACATCAATCATTAATCAAGAAGATGCTTTCCCACAGACCAGTCTGGTGGGGACTTTTTCTCAATTTAAGTACCCTCTTCTGGCATGACTTTAGCTTGCATCAAGTTGAACAAAAACTAACCAGCACACAATTGTTATTTATTTTTATTTTAATTAAAAGAATAACTGAAGTGTAATAAGACAGCCTTTGTGTACATATGGACAGAGAGTTTTTTTCAGTATTTCTCCTATGCTTGCCTCATATGGTGTTGATTCCACCGAATATTATTTAAATAGACCACCTACTTTAACCCTTGTACAGAAATTGTCATGCAGAGTCTATTTCTGCATTGAATACGCTATTGATACAATGCTCAATGTAAATCATAAACTTGAATGTCATTTTATGATAAAATGAGATATTATCTAAATCAAGGAAGAAGTGAATAAGTCACAAATATTTATTCTATTCCAACTATGTTCTCAAGGGGAAATTCGGTATTGCGTTTATGAAATATTAAACACCATCTCAGCTTTTACAATGGTTTTAATTTAATTATACAGCCTGACCTGTTTAATATTTTCCTTAAAACAATTAAGAGAGGGTTGATTGTTTGGATAGCAGAAATATAGAATGACAAATTAACTTAGATTTGTTTTAGTGATTGGGTGGTACCTTTAACCCTTTTGGTTAAAAAGTTAGATTTTAAGAGTCATTCCAGAATCATCAAGTCAATTGTATAATATAGCAAACAGTTCTAGAAGTATGTTAGAAGTTTCAATAAGTTGGGTATGTTTATTTTATTGTGTTGCTAGTGGTGATGGGGAAACGCTACATTTTATATTATTAAATTTTAACCAATAATCTTTAAGTAAAGAATGAAAGCAAAGAAACATCAAAAAGGCAAAAATAAAATGTGAAGGTCCAGGCTAATAACTATAGCATGAATCACCCTTCTAAGCCATGACTTTTTCCTACAGTGGTCCGATCCCAGAATATGTGAAGTATTCTCTATAGAAAAATAATCAGGGAGACATGCTAGAACAAACAGTACATTATAAATGACTAGGATAACTGCATTTTTTGAGAAATCCAAGAAATAAAATATGCAATGTGTTAGCTTTATATGAATACACCTCAAGAAAATTAGCTGAGAGTTTAGAAATTTCTTGAACATCTAAGTTCTTTATAAACCATATAGCTGGGAAGTCCTGAGCAACCAAACAGCTGCAGAGTTATCTGGCAGTTGCTTGCAGTCTTTGGGGTAACTAGCTGCAGCTTCTGTTTTTAGAAGACTGCTATTTTTAGTGGAAAGGATGGTGAAACTGGTGAGGGGGAATTGAGGAGGCAGTGGTTGTATAAGCTCATCTTTGGAAACTGTGAAACATGGGCAGAGATGTTAGAGAACATGATTGTCAGTTATGTTAGTCACCACAGTGGCTACACGCATCCAGAGAAGACAGCAGAAACAGAAGCACAATGAAAGTACCTTTCTTGT